TAGCCTTTAGACACAACATAAATTTTTCATGCACTGCCAAAAAACAAAATAACTTTACTCTCTTTTGTAAATCACATTACGACAAATTTTCCTCTATAGATCATAAAAATCTTAAAAACACTGAATAATAATAGTATACTATGTAAATATATATTATTCAAAAAACATAATCTTATAATATTTTAATATAAAACTTTGTTTATCATATTAATATTTAATTGCAAAATATCTAACTTTGCATACATCTCATCCAGTCGGAGTTCAGTTTAAATAGTTTTTAATCAGAAAAAATCTTTGTAATCTAATGTAAAGGTAATTTAAGAATTTGTTTTGGTCTTTTAAGTGTTTGTGACATGGAAGATTATTGTAATATTATCTCTGACTCGTCTTCCATGTGATTAAAAAGGAGATCTAAGGTGCCTCCTATTCATTCTGACAGCAGCTTTCTGCACTGTGGTCTGATCCAAGATGGCCGCCCTCTAGACATGTCGACCAGATTCCAATGAGGCCTCTACATATATAATGTCTATGATTAACATAATGTTAATCATAGACATTATATGTTAACATTAATTTGGATTTCTGAAGAGAGGAATATTAGAACTCTGCTCTTTGAAGGTTATTACTTCATAAATCCGTCTCTATCTGCCGCGCTAACTGCTAGCATGACGTTTAGTTTAATTCCCCCCACTTACATGATGTCTGATCATCCTCTAGGTTCCCACAACACCCCCTCCCTGTGGGCGGGGACTAATGGTGGGGGGGTGTTTGCCTACATTCTCAGCGTCCCTCCTGTAGAGCGTAGAGCGGATGAACCTGTTACCGCTCAGCCAGGTGAGTCTGAGCGTTTGTTTAGAGCTCTGTTCAGTTCCGCTTCCTCGTTTTATCGTTTCTATCTGGTTTATTTCAGCCAAGGAGATCCAGCTGATGCACCGGGCCCCCGTGGTTGGAATCGTGGCTCTGGATGGTCACGGCGTTCCTCTACCTGAACCGCTGGAGACGGCCCACGACCTGGCCCGCTCACCTGAGATGCACGGCTCGCATCACCTGTTGGTCGTCTCTGAGGAGCAGTTTAAGGTCAGAGGCCAGAACAGCAAACATGGTGGTTTGATAAGCTTAAGGTTGGCGTGTTGGGTTATTCTGAACGCAGCGGCCTGAATTTCACCTCAGCAGGGACTAATTTAAACGTTGCAGCACGCTGCGCTAATGCACTGACACCCTGATCTCCCCTCATTTAGCTCACTCTAGCTTCTTTGGTTTGTTTCTTCTTGTAAATGGGGGGGGGCCTTCATTTCAGAGAAATATCTAATTGACCCAAACGCTGCGTTTTATGGAGTAGGAAAGGTTCCCTCCCAGCCGCACCGTGGCCTCCCCCAACGCTGCCTTCAAAAGCTGAGAGTCTGAAGAATTTATTTGCTATACGTTGAACAGTTTCATAGATTTCATTTCTCTAGATCGCTTTTCTGTTGCTCATTTAATTTAGGAGGATCAATGCATCCATATTATCAGGAGCAAAAAAGCTTGATAATTTCGAATAATTGTGAGCATCTGTTACTCCACCACTCGTCACCGTTTGTTAGCCTGAAGTGAACTGTTGT